TTTCTTGATATACTGACCTTGGGATGGTGCCCCCCCCCCTGCCCAACTACATTTTCACCGAATTTTGCACTCATTTGGAGATAGAAGACTAACCAGCTCATCAAATTTCCATGGCACTGACGATGAGGCAATTAGAGGGAGAAATTCTTTGGTGGCAGGATCTAAGAAGAAGGTCCTGCGACTCGAGGACCATTAACGCCCAGTTAAGCTATTGCCGATCAACCTTCATTCTGGATTGATCTAATAATTTGTGGGAAAGGCGAGATGTTGAAGATGACTAGCCGTTGAAAAACGAGAACTGCTTATTTAAATACAAAACACCCCACCATTACGGCGGCTTGTATTATCACAATACGAAGGCCATCTATCAGAGGCTCTAGTTAGCATGGTGAGCAAGGTAAGATCCAATCTGCTATTTAGCCAAGCAAAAGGTGGTAATTTTCTGTACACAAAAGGCATTCCCCAGCATTCTGTTTATGCGTATTTCAGCATATTTGGAATCGCTCCAAACAGTTGTTGCTATGGAATAGCAAAAAAACATGTTGACAACATACAAATGGATGCAAACACAGAGCAGGATACGCCGTTGAAAACAAGAATTCGGTGTCCCCCTTTACTATTATTAATCAGGATCTTTGGAAAACATCTCTAATTCAAATTTTGTTAGTTCCAAAATACCCACCGCAGATTGAGGAGTTACAAAATAAATGAACCTTCTCGGGATGTAGAGTATCGTTTCTGTTAGGACACTATGATACCAGTGGATGCAACCGACTCCGCTTCATCGTGTAGGCACAGCGTCCGCTTTTCTTGCTTTCCTGGCCTACAGCCATGTATAGCTGTAGACTAATACTCCCTTTCGTCAAACTAAAAGCTCTAAATCTAAATTATCACGAACTGTCCCGTAATGCTTAATGGGACAGTTTACGGTAATTTTGGAGTATCCAGTTTCAGAAAGATAAAGGAAGTAATATCCCGGTGAAAATGTAGTTGGGGGGGGGGGGGGGGGGGGGGGGGGCCCCACCAAAAGGGTGGGGGANGGCCACCTATCACAATGTCGGTATATCAAGAAATGAACTCAATGAAACGCGTTATGTCGTGTTATATCACGGATATGCCAGTTTTTAAATAAGGGCTCTCGTAGGGAAGGAGCACCGCGATGGGCAAGTTTTTTTTTATTTTTTTTTCTTTTTGTTTGCAGGAGGTAATCATCCCACCCACCCAGGTGCTCCTACCCTGCCTAAGCTTGTTTGGGAAACTAAATTTCCCTAGCTGAAACTGCATAAAAGAGCTAAGGTGGTCGGTTCCCATCATCCTCAACACATAAGACACAGTGCTGATATAACAAGGGTTAACACGTTAGTCTGAGTTCATTTTTTGATATACCGACCTTCGGATGGGTGGCCCCCCCCCCCAACTATATTTTCACCAATATCCCAAAATAAAGCAAAAGTGGCGAAGAGAACGCGATATTTGGCTGATTCGGTGCAATATGAGGCCTCGAAAAAGTAGTAAAATTCGGGTTTGGACGAGAATGTGACGACGAAAGTTTCATGGAAGAGTTATTTGGACGAGTAGTCCAAATGCGTGTGCCATTGCTAAACTGCCTACGTGCAACGTGTGCTTCCCGATGCGAGTAGTGCAACCTCTACATCCTCTACGACGCTATGGAACCTTGCCCGCCTTGGGTGTATACTTCGGCCAAGCTTGTTTCGGGAGCCCTTATTACGTCCTCTTGGCCGTTTTTGACCCAACAGAGTCCATTGGGCTAACTTTGGGGGTCACAGGTCCTTAAAATGGAGACAAGAACCACATTTAACTTCCTTTAAGTCTCATAACGGAATGACCGACCACGTTGAGTTATTAGCTCTATTCCGTGCATGATCCTCTGGGTATTCAATCTCCATCCCACCGACCTGAAAACCACTACGCAGTGGTTTCATTCAACTACGTAACCTTATTTCCTCCACCATAGTACTCAAACAATGATAAAGTAACTCTGTTACTCCAACAGGGACGATGTTTCAGCATGTATACCCAGACGCTATCATGACTTTGTTGTTGCAAAGTAAAAAGCAACAGATGTAGAGAACAGTCACAAAAGCATGCTCCATACCCCCTCATCAAATCACATGTACGACAAATGTTTTTGTTGCTTCATAACTAGCCATTCGAGCTAAGACCGGCAACCTGGTTTCTGTAAGGGGTGAGTGTCCATCAACAGCCATGTCTTTCTGTTGATCAGTGATTCTTCTTGGTATAATGATAACAATAACAATTTGATATGTGTTTCCAGTCACGATTTATGCCACAAACAATATGAGGTTATATAAACTCGGCCCATTCATAGCCATCATTTGAAGTCATTTTCGGTCGCCTTTCGCCATCGCCATCATTTTTATAAGCTTGATAGAGTTAACGCAAATTACTCTCTGATGTAAGCAACGCTTCCAACAGTTCATATAAAATTAACTCCGTAGTACGAAGCATTTATTTATGTTTGTAAATGGGCTGAGGTGGTGTAGTGGCGAATGACGCATTATCACACGTCCATGGTCACGCCACCCTCTACGGTCGGATAATTGATACCGTCTGGAAGGATAAATGCACTGACCTGTACTTTGGAAGTTGAATGCTTGGGCGTATCCTGTAAGCGGAATTAATCGACACCCGAAGACTTTATCCTTTTATGTGTGTAAATGTAAATGTATACTTCCTGGTCACCATTCGACCTACACACTTTCCTCTTTCTTTCACAGTTCAAGCAATGACAAGGCTGGATGTGGGTGGTACGTCGGAATTCGAATCTCCCATTTTTCGAATTTCGAAGATAGATTTAAGGTCGAGCTACGGTAGTTGTTCTGAAATTTTTCTGTCGCCTTTCACAAGAACCCCTCGGAAACAACAGACATCTGGTCAGGGAGAAGTGATCTTTGACATTCGCTTGTCTCCACCACTACTACCTTTNTTTCATTGTTGTCAGCCAGGGTGAACGATGACTGTCAATAGTCACAGTTCACACGGCACAAAAATAGGAACAATTTCTGATTCTTGGTTCGAACATACGCCTTCATACACTGCAGGTAGTTTCTCCTCGATCGGCGATGCTCGAGGGAACTTACTGTCTTTATACCTGTTCATTCAGTTGTATTATCATTATGCTTGCGTCATCTTTGTCATTCTACATGATGCTTTATCTCTGACATCTTCTCTCACTCACCTTTATCGGAAGCTATCCATCAAACGGTCTCGTAGGTTTCTCCATCTGGCTCCCAGTTAACTCTGTAATATTTGTGCCCATAGTAGCCGAATGGTTCCCAGAGGGACATCGGTTGGAAGGCGTCTCCCACTACACAGTTGTTGCTTTGAGATGGTGATAATTCTGCCACAACAACCACCTAAAGAAAACTTTGGGTCCACGTCAATATACAGTGGGAGACTCCTACATACTTGGAGCTGGCAGGAGTAGAAAAAGCAGTAGAACTCTATCTAGTCATCCTTCATTACTGTGTAGTTAAAGACACAGTGCACGATGAAAATGGTTGCTGAGATTCCCCACAGCATGGATTCGAAGCCCCTGCGTATACCTCATCTGGCACTATTAGTTTGGAAAAAGGCCTAGTTAGGGAGGTATAAATGCTAAAAGATTGGCCCGCGTTATCCTCGGACGAATTTCACCGGCACTGCGGAGACTGCACCGATCACGAGGGAACCCATGTAGGAAGTTCAAACAACTTGTCGTCACTCATAGCGACAGTGAAAGGTAGTTCTGTACAGCTCTGGCTTGATGTAGTCAGCTCTTTGTGCAATTGCAATAACTGAAATCTCGTCCGAATACCCCTTCCATGTAATTTCCGTCATGGCAATCTCGTCCAACCTCTGTTTTCCTTACTTTTGAGGAGTCATATTTTTCTAGAAATCGACGAATTCTCTCGCTTTCTTCACTAGCGATGAACTATCCAATCTATACTTCCGCTCCTCGAATAAAAACGAGTGCTTTAAAATTATCGTGAACTGTGCCTTCAAGTACGAGTTCCTGGAGATGAACAGAGCGAGAGCTTTGTACATATCTATAGCAACATCCAACACAAACTGATTCTTCGTTTGCTTCCATCCTCAATCACCAATAAATATTCCTTATGCAAATACACCATATTTCGATCTAATGTACTATGATTCACAATTTTTATCGAATTTTTATTATTATCAAAATTCAATAAAATCCATAATTACAAGATTGAACTGGTAGTACAGAAAGCGAATGACAGTGATTGAAAGGATGTCACGGACATGGCACCAAACATATTCTCATTTAGTGCTTCGTAATTGCTTCTTTTGCATCGTGTAACTTATTACCAGCTTGATGCTTTAGTTCTTCAGCCTAGAATAATTACATGGTATGAATTTTGATCGTGAACTGTTGAGCTCAGGTTTGCTTACTTTATCGCCGGCCCTTTCCGCGGCGTTCCTGACAGCTTGTCCAGCTTCATGCATCTTCTCCTTGGCGGCATGTCCCAATTCCTGGGCCTTATTGGAGGCATCGTGCTTCTGAATTATGTGAGCATCATGAGCTAGGTTTCATGGGATGAGAACTACAGTTAGAGAAATCTTACGTGATGGCTGTCCATTTTAATAGTGTAGTATAGAGCTGCGATGTGTCTGCAAAGGAAGAAATTCAGTGAGGGTAAGGAAAGGAGCGGAAAGAGGTATCGAAGGACGAGAAGATGCGGAGGAAAAGGAAAAGGTTGAACACCTATACCGGTAGAGCTTCAAATGTTACTTCGAGTATAGTAAGCCTACAACAGAGGAGCTGTATACTGATGCATAAGAAGAGCGGCAGTTGTTGTGTACGTCGTTGGCATCCTTTTATACAGTTCACGGTTGTTTACACCCATCTTGGCAAGGATTGTTTGGGCCAATATGCCCCTCCCACTTCTGCCTGTCTCACACGTCATTTACATGTTCACAATAACAACATATATTTTATTAAATAGTAAATAATAGACAATAATAGACAATTATTATGGAATAATATTAAGTACATTAGTGGGCCGTCTTCTGTCATTTCCTGGTTGTGTAGAAATGTAATTTTTGGCGATTGTCGCATCAAGTACATAGGCGACTCCGTTGCTTAGCATGATTTCGGAATCCTGAAAAAACTGGGTTTCAAGACCTAAAAATAGCGTTTCGGGGATCAAAGTCTGCTATGATGCGTAGCTAATCGAACCTCCACCCGTGCTCCATCAATGTATGTGTCGCCATCGGTCGATGTTGGTCGAAGTGCCTCTCCGTTCAGATTGGCGTATGTCTGAATTCGGATCTCTCCTGGACTACGGCGAATATCGAATTCGCATAGCGGCTCTGAAACCATATCGTCTTTCAAAGGAAACACCCGGAACCAAACAAACATCGAGCCAGGAAAGGGTGATCTCTGTCTTTTTCTCTTTGTCCCTTTCATTGTTGTCAGTTATGTCGTCACTTACCATCTACAAGGTATCGTCGTACAAAAATATCGGTCAGTTTCCGATTTCCGACCAGTTTTTTGAACTCGTTGTTCGAAAACGCGTCATCTGACGGAATAAATGCCGTCAACAGTTTCTCATCGGTCAGTGATCCATTCAGTGAGCTCTGTTGCCACAACCTAAACAGAACTGCATACTAGCATAGCATCATGGACTGCTAAACTTTTAGAATCACCTGTAGAACTTGCTCAAGTCACTTCGCTTGGCTAGGAAGGTGTCAAAGTTATCCGTGACCAAAGGAAGAGGCTGAAAAGAACCAAGGTTACCTGATTTCTATTATCTTTCATGTTACACCCTCTCATGCCTAGAACGCCTCTCACCTCTCCCTCTCTCAAGTCCTTTATTATTCAGATTTCTCTTTTGCTTGACAGACTCATTGAAATACGTAGTGGCAAGGCGTACCACCGGGAACCAGGACGGAAATCAGTAACTTTCTCTTCATAAGAAACACTTCCTCTCCTGTCATAGTGTGTACGTGATCCTTTTCTTCATTTCTCCCATTCCCACATGTTTTTCTTTACACCTACAACCTCTATGAATTCTTTTGGAATTTTGCTGTCCATGATGGATGCGTAGTCCTAACCGTAATGGATTTGATAGAATAATGAAAAGCCTGAAAGTCTAACATAATTGTGATTAGTGGATTGGATTTGAGGGACTTAGGCCTCATATGGATTGACTCTATGTTTCCAATTGGGAAGAGAATTTTGCCCTTTGAGAAACCGTAATCGGGGGCCGCACAGGCTCTGATTTCAATGATACTTATAAATTCATACATCACCATCCCTCTGCAGGTGTGTTTTCTGTTAGATACACCCTCTCTGATACAGCATTCATAATTGTTTGATTTTCATGATTGTGTGATTAGGCTCATTTGCGCTCCTTTCGCATTTATGGTTATGACTCACTGACTTTGAAAATCAAGTTGGTCCTGGATTAAGTTTGTTGAGTATCTCCCTCAGTCGTTTCAAACTGTACCCTAAGAGGTTTCATAGGGCTCAACAAAACAATGCCTGCGCAAAACGTATAGCGACCAGGCTATAGCCCTATACCCTACCAACGCCGAACGGAGTGTGCCTCCCACCTCCGTCGGATTTCTTGGACTCCCGACGAATACGTGTCGCCCGAGTCCTTTGGCTCGTATAGAAGTGAACAACATCGTGTTCGATTAAGGACCGTGAGGTACAAGATTGTGAGGCAAGACCTTTAAGGTCGATTGCTCTGGAGGCCGTTGACTACATCACGTTTCACCTCATTCCTTTCAGTTCCACCTTAAACAGTTATAATCACGCCTATCAAACCCCACGGAGCATTGCCTCGGCGAGAGAACGAAAAGAAGTGGAAACCATTCAAAACTGATTCAGTCAGCGCACCGTTGCTGCAAAGTGGCCCCTACTGTGATGTAGAAGAACCAGAGCACGATGGAGTGCCCCCATCACCCTACTTAATCGTATCGTACTTCGTTTCATTATGATTTGTACCCCTCCACGTGAAAGTAAGGGAATATGAAGTTGAGATGGACCACTCTAAATTTACAACGCGAATGGGTAGAGTGTAGAACGAATGGGTGCCGACTGAACCATTTTCGAATAAAGGATAAAAGGATAAAGTCCTCTTGCGTTAATCGATCGCTTGCTCCCCTTGCGCCCTGCATTCGACTTTTACTCAGAATCGTAGTGGGGTACTGAGTGTGTGCGTTGCCTAGATAATGACAAGCGATGACCGCCGAAGTACATGCTTGTACAGTGTTTTTCCTCCCAGACGAGTCTAGCATCATTTAACCGACACTGTAGGGATGGAAAGCTCGGTTGATTGGAGGTGGTGTAGTGGCAAGTGGCGCACTATCTCACACGCACGTTCAGGGATTCGAATCCCGGATCGATGCCCGCCAAGGCCAGCCAAGCCTTCCATCCCTCCGGTATCGGCAAATTGGTATCAGACTCGTCTGGGAGAATAAAAGCACTGACTTGTATCTAACCTCCTTCAGACGGGATGATTAACGCCAAACTAACGCAAGCTTGATCCTTTTGTCCTCCACAGAAAAATAATCTACCACTGAAAGATCTCAGAGACAGGCGCTCAACTCAGTGGTCCCCTCACTTCCATATGACTAGTTTAGTCTTCATCTGCGAACTACAGCAGTCGTTTTGAATTTCTTGTATAATATTACCACATAGGATCTAGTACCTTTTCAATAAATTGAAGAACCGCATTGCATCCTTTCACACTGTCTTCAGTGATTCTCGAACAGCCAACTTGACCTCGTTGACGTTGTCCAGGTTGCACTGAAATCCGCACCCAAATGGGTGAAGTTTTGCGGGAGTATCCAGTGAAGATCTGAAAAACACTATTGCTTTAGGAGCTTTGGTCGATTTCCTCTACACTAGTCAGTCATTCTTTTCGGTTACGCATAGATTGGCTCTCCATGCTAATGTGCGGCCACATATCTCAGGGTACAATAACTCAAAAGTCTCCCAAAGAAAAAAGTGATATCAATCTAAACTGAGAGCAAACTCTAGGGCAGTTGTATGAATTTTAGGGCTGAAGATGTACCCAAAAACTGTAGCCGAGATATCATCGCGTCGGCTTTATATCCTCAAAAAGATCACGGTTTTGCCTATGCAAATTGATGACCCCTGTTTTTGTTTTTCGGACGGGACTATAAAGACTCTTCTTTTGGTCAGTGGAAGATTCTCATAGTGTCACACATAATGCTGTAGAATTCGAGCCGAAAGATTATATTTCTCGAGCAACCCTACTATGTCCCTACATACTAAGGTCCATTAGTATGTACTGCGCCACGTACCGTAGAATTGGCCTGAGTTGTTATCGCTGAAGGTCGCTTAAAATCTTCTCTCGATTCACCAATGACGATATGATTTTTTGCAAATTCCGTTGATATCTAAAAGAGAATATATAAGTAGTGAACAGCAGCTTGCCATCTTCATTTGAGGGCTTCAGCAACTACTTAGGAACTGAACCTATTAGTTTGAAGGAATTTCTAATTCTCCTGAAGCAGTACACTTACCCAACCCTTGACGATGAAATCAAAGAAAGCGAACAGTTGGGACAGAATAGGGGACTTACCGTACTGTTGTCAACGGGTGGTACAAAAATCGTCAGTTTTTCATTTGGGTTTGTCACGACATCCTCTAATGCCTCTCTCAAATTGCTGTTGTGGGCTTCCAAGTGTTCTCGCCATGACAACACTTAATAGCTTTTTAGACTTGCATGCCCAGAATGCGCAAAAGTGAAAACTCACATTCATCGCTGAAAACGACATCGTCGATGATAAAGATGACACCGTTCCTGGCAAGGATGTTACTGACCGTCACTCGAGCCCTTCCGATATGAACAATTCGTTCATTTCCTTTAGTCTGAAAATTTTATGAGGAATTATTCAGTGAAGCATTGTTCACCCCTGTGAGCCTAAACGTGATGGGAAACTTGGATTAGAGGGCAATTTCAAGAAAACTGGGATAGCGCTTGATTAAAAATGTCCATGCGACTGGTCGTCCTTTTCTGCCATCTGTAGGGATCCTAAGATGTTCAAAAATGGAAGCGTTGTGAACCGAAAATGTATGTATAGGACAGCTTCTAGTAAAGAGTTCTAACATATAGAACCTATAAAAGGTTCTATCCGGCAGGCATTTTGGGGTTCCTGCAAGTTCCATACCTCCTCACGGAAAAGGGCCCATTGACAAACCGCAATAGTGGTGGTCCTCTCAATAGCATGAATTCGAAATCAACCATATCACTCACGTGAGTTCTAGCTTCGAGTTCGCTACCAGCCAGTGACTTCAGTGGGTGGTCGTAAAGTTCGTGAGAGCAGAAGGAACCATCGACGATATGGCTGCGAGCAAAATCTGAAATGATACCTATTACATTTTAACTGGAATGTTCATTCAGTGGAAATTATCTACCCAACCCATAGTAATTTTTTTCAATCACTGTCGTACGTGACCGCTTCCCCAATGAAGCGATTTCTTGAATCACTACTTATATATGAAAGCAGTATCTTTTTGATCTCAGTGTGGCTCCTTAGACCTTTCCTGTGAAATTGTTGGCTGTTTCCCAAAGATAAACGTTAAACGCATCGAGATTTCCATTCCCCTCACAGGAACGATCGAATCCTGGGGGAATGAGGGCTCAAGCCCTCATAAAGGAGTGCTCACTGTTTCACCTGTTGAAAAGTGAAATCGAAATTCTGAGTCACTGATTACTAACTATTACTGTTTCGATTTCACATTCCAATCAGTAAACAATGCTAATGACGGCTTCAACTATGGTCCGCGCCTTTGTGTTCATAATATTTTCCCATACCCAGTCAGGAAGGTGATAACAGCTCCTATCAGCTTACCTGCTGCGCAACCAATACCCCCTTTTATATCTTTCAGCAGGGATCCAGAGAGCGATGAAAACGCTTTGTTTGATGGCGCAAACACAGTGAACGACTCATTTGACGATAGCTTCTCGCGGAGATCATCGGAAAGCACTGGAAGAGTATGACATAGGGATAGAGCTGAACGATGAATCAATTTGAAACGTACAAGAAGTAAAAGTAGTCAAACGGGCATCATTGGTTAGTGCTGAAAGCACCGTTTCCGCGACCGGCTGCAAATCACCACTGACCAAGTACACGATACCGTTGTCGCTAGAGTAGGACACCGGATCGAGCGGAAGGCAATTCACGTAGGTTTTCTGGAAAGCCAGCGTCATTCACATAATATTATTCACTATGCACATTGAAAACGAGGCAATGTCATTACAGTGGGCGGTGCCAATTTTTCGACGCAAGAGAGGAATATTTAAAGGACCCGTGTTTCCAAACAATAAATTTCGTTGAGCACTACTATTTTACTTTAGCAACTCCTTTCCATTGGGCTTGCTAAACTGAAAACCCTGCGTCAAACGAGTAAAGGGATGCTCGGTCACAAACGAGCTTGAATAGGGTCATAATTAAATAAATACTTACAATGGAACCGAACGCATCCTCTGTCTGGGAAACCAGCAGTTCGCCTCCAGCAGCAGTCCTCAGCACGTCTCCATTTACCCATTCATAGCTGCGGTATTTTCGTGGAACAATACGGTTCAGCACGTATGACTTCGGATCCTCATACTATAAGCAATACTATTCAATGAAAACACATTCAATTCTAGAGTTATCTGAAGAAAATTCCTTCGTTGTAATGATCTTTGGAGGTGAATTGTATACGGAAAGCGCCATATCGTTCCTATGTGATCCATTTCAGGGCACAATCTTTCAATTCATAGAAGCTATTGAAAAGCCTTTTGCAAAAGAAAAAAATTGGCACAAGGAGAGGGACACTATCATGGAACAACCAAAAGTCTTTGGAGCTGGTCAATTTTTTATGGGATGCGCTCCAGTGCTACCATTCAGAATGTGTTTTGAGAGCGTATACGGCCTACACAATGACATTGCCCTGGCCAATCGATCTACTTACTGTTCAGTGCTTTTATTTTGGTTTCTGGTAAAAAGTTCTGGTTTCAATTAACTGATCCCACAGGGTTGAAGGAATTGGCTGGGGCGACGGTGAATAATGATCCTGCACATAGAGCGGTATTCATCCGGCACTGGATCCACGCATCATACGAATGATAGCGCGCCCCCTACCACTACAACACTTCCTCTCCTCCCACATGATACGCCTTGAACTCGTGATCAGAACTATAAGATCAACAACAAAAAGGAATCCCCTCTTCTTCTCCCTAGCCTTAATCCCATCCCGTGCCCTCGCAGGGTCCGCTATACAGTAGAATCTACACAGAGCGTAACGAATCTTCTCTGCTAGGGGTCTTTCACCTACCTAACTGAACACGGCTGCATTTCTTAGTTTTGAAAGCACATAGGTCTTTTTACAAATCCCTTCAATTGCACTCAATTTCTGTATTTTTCATTTTTTCCTAGGGCACTGATATACGTGACCTGAAGAATAAGTCAAAACTGTTTTACCAGAGTTAGGTCTTTTC